GAGTAAAGGAGCCCAATGCAGGTATTCCTCAAACCTTCCGTAGAGGAACACGATACCGGCCTCGACTCGGATGTCTCGCTGCGGAACGAGCGGGAAGCAGAGCAAAAGGTTTTCGCAACCGCCTCCTGCAGATATAGTCGTACAAAGGAGGCGGGTATCGATTGCGGCCGACAGAGAGACGCCGATCAATTTGTGCACCATGTCAGTATGTCGGACAGACTGCGGGGGAATAAGCTATCTGATGTAAATTAGTCCCGCTAAGACACCGTTCGCGTATGTAATGAGGGGCAAAGTTCGGAAATAAATGATTACCCTCGGCGGGCTGAACCCTATCTCGAGTTCTGCCGCCTCCGAGGCGGATGCTTATCGATTCCCAATCTCAGACGACCTACGCATGAACCCGCACGCGATTCGGGAAATTCGAGCCTCGCGTCTGAAGGAGTGATCAGGCTCATCAGTCCTGAATCGGTCGCAAAACTAGTGAATGGTCCAAACGGGTCTTGGGGCAAAGACTTCATCAGAGTAGGCGATTCCGAGTTATTCAGCCGAAACGAGTCTTGATCGTCGTTCGAAGAGCAAATTTCAGCTCTAAAATAAGGAGGAGTCGACAGAAAGTTCGCTCGCTCCAGAAAGGGAGTTGAGTGAAGGTAAGATGTGCTTATTCCTGGATAACCGGGGCGTGATTTGCATTCTTGCCCTCCGCCCAGGAGAGGAGCCGCGTTTGGCCGTAGAAATTGGATCCAGGATGTTATGTAGTACAGGAAGGCGGACTTATTTGCGTATAAGTGAAAAGACGACACACCAGAGCTGCGCGGCGGAGCGTCTGACAGACGGGTGAACGAACGAGTTGACAGCACGTAAAGGATTCCGGTTAGCTCTGCAGCGCTGCACCTCATCCAATGCGGAGCGAATACGTGCTCAACACGACAAGTCAAGCGTGAAGCTGACATGTACCGTCCGACGGAAGGGGATCTCTCCTGCACAGTCCTGAGCTGTCAGCTATCGGGAGCCCTGCAGTTCACGCGACGACTGTTGACTTTCAAGATTTGCGGGCCCAGATTCCGCTAGGGCAAACTTGCGGTACATCTCTCCTGGCGAGGGATTCATTCCCGAGCGGTCATCGAAACAGCCTCAATTTCATACCCGGGGGAGGATCGACGTCCAGTACATCTCCGCTGGAATGCAAGGTGTCGATAAGATTAAATAATATCAAATAATATACATCGATAAGAGCCTCGGTCGGGGAGGGAGCGAATGGTGCATCTTCAACTCCGGAACTGAAGATGACCACGACATGGATAGTCGCCCGATGCCCAAATCTAGAGCGCGCAGGAGGATGTATCGCTGACAATGCTTCCTCTGGCTTGCTGTCGGTCTCCGTTAGCGAACATGGATTCTTTCCGAATGATCTTGTTCCTCGCGCTTTCCATCAGTGATATAATGCATGACTATACCACGACGGATTTGCCGACGGAGGCAAAAATATATTTGGATGGTCGCGTCACTACGTCGCGGACAAAAACGAATGCTGCCGGAGCGAGCGTCATCCGGATTTCTCCAGCCTGTAGTCGTAGGTGGTCTCCGAGTTGCAATTCATAATGGATTGTGGGCTTGCGCTCAACTCCTGTGGATCCTTTCGAATATTTCTCGCGTCGCTCATTCAAGGGTAATTAGGCGCGGACAGCAAGTGAATAACACAGAATAACACCAGATATGAGTTATGGGCGGAACTCCAAGAGTCGAGCAGTACCCTCCGTGAGGATTCTGTGGCTCTGGCGAGAAAATCTCGGCAAACAATGCTCGCTCTGAATGTCGGATTGAGTATAGCGGCCCCCAGAGAGCAAACTAACTCGGCTCCTGGAACCCCATACCTTAATGAAGTCGACCGAGCCTGAGTACTCGAGTACACATGTATATTCTATGAGCTCCTGATCGCAGTCGGAATCCACAGCTACTCCGAGTCCTCACTCAGCGCTGCCGTGTGTCGGGAACCATGGTGTGAGGAAAGTTGTACGTCTTCACTTCCGTTCCTATGCGAAGCCAGACCTCAGAAAAGCCAGAGACTCATCACAGATTGCATGCTGTGCCTCGATGGATTGAACATTGATTTATGCGTATTCGGAGACGAGCCGCACGCCCCGAAGAGATCCGTGCTCTTCCTCTGCTCTGTTTGGGCTCCCTTGCGAATCCCAGAGATATTCTGATCGGGCCCCATAGGTAGCCAGGCGGGAGCACATAAGTACCTTGCTCTGGAGACTTTACCTCCGATTTAGCATCGGCGTCGATGCTACGCGACGTGGAGGACCTGCTCCGATAAGTGATAATCATTTTGGTTTAACCTTCACCCGAAATCTGTTCGTACGACGCTCGAGTACGACCCGCTGGAATCATCGGCGATGGGGTATGAGTGTCGAGTATCTGAGAACTTGTTCTCGCCTCACATCAGATATGCCGGGAGGGAGGTAGCATCCGATGTGATGAAAATTCTGGGTGATTTTCTATTCAAGGATTGTTTCCCACTCTGATCTTTTCATGCTTAGCCTATGAACCTACATGGCACGCCGCTGTATTGAAACCCACCAACGCGACCTTCTTCGAATTATTCCAATTAGGGAAATACGAGGTTTTATCGAGGCTCCTTCGAGCGTCTCCCGCAACGAGATACTGAACGGCGTAAAAGTTACACCCGACGACTACTAAAAACACAAATGCATTGAGCATCACCCCTGACAGATGAATTCCATCGAATTGGAAAAACCTTAACCGAGTTGGGGTGGCCGTATCCATTATCGGGAGTGATATCGTGTAGCTCGAACTTTCAGGGGTTGGGCTTGCCTCGAACGAATTCACATCCCGCTAACAAAGCGGAGTCATGGGCGGCGACGGAGGGGCAAGAACGATCCCCTGATCGGCTCTAATTGTCGGCGGCTCGGTGTCACTACGTCGATAACTTCTTGACCCATCCTGACGATCTTCCGCCAGCTGCCAGAGTTGCTTTTGCTGTTCGAGCCATTGAGTTTTTGTTTGCAGCCGCCGAGGGGAACCTTGATCCGCTAATCAAATTGACAAGTCGGTATAAGCTTCTATTCCAAAATATAAGAAAGGGATACAGAAGATGTCTCGTGCGACTAAGTCACCGCTATCATCAGCGTCATTATCGACGGAATTTCTGGGCAGCAGCGAACGGTCACTCATCGTGGATGGATGGATGGTTTATTGGTGTCCCGCGGTTCAATCTTTTACTTCCTTAATTTGACCTGTCATTCAGGAAAAATCAGCTGTTTCCTCGATAGCTGTCAGATACTTAGTTCGAACACAGTAATCCCGATCTGATCTGATACTTTTTCTGATTTTAAGCTAGGAACTCACGTTGAGTTCTGAGCTACCGTTAAGCAGTTTCGAGGTATCGACGAAGATCGGTGCACGACGATGATCGGACTTATCGTGGCAAACGCGAAGAAACTCCTCTGGGGCTTCTCTTTTCTATGCTCCCCGGAAGTTATGTGGCGCCAATAATGTCCTATGATCTAACTTTTCATAGTCATCCCAGATAAGAAGATTGAATTAAGTCTCGAGTTCATGGAAGAGTTGAAAAAGGGAGAGAATGATGAAAATTATGGGTGATTTTCTATCGAAGGATTGTTCCCCACTCTAATCTTTCCGTTTTTAGCCTATATAGGCTGTATAACAGGCCACTGGGGCGACCTCCTTCAAATGATTCCAAATAGGGAAACACGTGGTTTTATTGATTATACAGAAAATACAGACTTATGACTTATTTCTCTTGTCCTGGATATAAGAGACCGGTATTCCCTCAATAAAATACTATGTGGATTCAGTCATATTAACTCGATCAACTCCCGCTGTTCTTATTCAACTGTGGTGTGCTCCAGAAGTGCCAACTCACGATCTGCGAACCCTTCCAACCTGCGAACCAGAATGCCTCGATGCTCAATCGTAATGGAAATTGTTGACTCTGCTGGGTTGGGTGGAAGCTCGCAGCGAAGAACCGCAGTTTCCACCAAAGCGAACTCGTTCCATCTCCCTACCGGAGGGTTAGCAATGTAGCACCCCTCTAAAGCCTTTGCATGACCCGAATGAAAAATTTATCTCGGAGAGCTGGGAAGCCGACAGTGGTTGGGAAGCCTGATGAGATCTCGAAGCTTTTCGCTTTGGAATCGCACAGGATATCCCGAACTCAGCTGCCTGAAGCGAAGAGTTCCCTTGTGCGGTCCCTGTTGGGTGTGGTCATTGATGAGACTCTTCCCGTCGTTCTCGAGTGTGCGAGCTTGGCAAGAAAAATCATTCACGCAGCTCAATGAGGGATCAGGGGTCGTGGATTCCCGCATACTCATCCCACCCAAGCCAAGAGCCCTGCGGGAGATTCAGCTCATGATCTCAGTCACTCTTCTGCGTGACTACTAATCAGCCCATCAGTGATGGCTCCTTCTAGTAGCAGCCCTTCCCGCATCAAACAATCCTTTGGCAGATAGCTCGGGTATTCCTTAACGGCGGACGCGGAATCACAGCGAGACCTGCATATGATGCTCGAAGTATGCGCACACGCCCGTCGAGGATTGAGCGGGATGAATGAGCAGTCTGGGACAACAACAGGCGACCGAGCACTAGGGAAAAAACTGAAAGGAAACTATCCTAAAGGAGAGCACTGTCCCGGAGCTCAGAGAGAGATGGGGGAACTTTTCCATTGAGGGAAGTACGGCCTTCCATCTGTGGAACCCTCGCGAGAAAATCCAGAATCGAAGACTACCCTGGGTTCCGTGTGAGGTTCTCTTTTTCGGTGGATTGGGCACACGGCATCCAAGGGAAAACAGAATCGAAGTCTGATAGAGACTGGCTCCCCCCGTTCCATGTTCACGTTTGGCTGATGGAAAGCGCGAGTATCCTTTCGCGACTCTCCGCCGAGTCGAGACTTGCGCCTGGATCTCGTGCAGTACAGGGATCAGTGAAATATAGCACGTCTGCACGTGCGAGGCGATGACGTGAACATTGTTATAAAATGTTAAGGAATATTTGTCCGGAGACGCAGTCCGAAAGCAGTGCTCTGAATCGTCTTCTCTAGATCCAGAGAAAAGGAGGGACATTCCGGTGTATCCGCAGCGAATGCGCGGAGTTTCAGGCAAGTGAAGGGTAGGAAAGCCGTTCCGAGCACTCGGCACCTAGGCGCGTTGGAAGGACGCAGGGGGGGAAGCTGTTTACGGCGAGTCGGGGGAGGGCATCTCTTTCTGAATACTGATCCAGAGCTTGAGAATGGCCGGAGCTCGAAGGGGATTCTCGATAACATTGGCGACAGCTGCTCATCGAAGGAAGCGAGTAGAGCTGTTGATTCGACGAAATAATTTGCATGGTCATCCTGGATACGATCAAGGTCCCGTGCGAGGAACTTGCTTCCTCATTCTACGAATTCGGAATTTTCCCCTCCCGGAAGTGATCCCTTATTTATTGACGTCCCCCCCTTCCGCGTGTTCCAGAGTGAGTCACAAGATGCACCCCATTGATACCGCGAGGAAGGCCACTCTAGAGACCGAGGTCGTGGACGTTCTGGAAACGTACGGGAATCGACTCCTGGTCATAGAGCGGACGCTTGATGACACGGCGGAGACAACGATGGCTGACCAATTGGAATGCATCCGAATTGAGAACGACAATGCACGCGACCGGCTTGAATCGCTCCTGAGCGAAGCTGCCCGATGTCACGATCAGACCTCTGATCTCTTGAGCTCTGTGTGGAACACAACTAGGATGAAAATCCTGTATCACGGTGTCTTGAAGGACGCGGTTTCGGCTTCCCAGGTCTGCGCCACTTGGAAAAGTCAGCGCGGCATTCTCGAAATCTTGGAATACCACAACCGGGATGTCTTTGTAAGAAAACTTCTTGATATCTCCCATGCCGTTAGGAGGACATATCACGGAAAATGACTGATCCATTCGGAGCCCTCCGATTGAGTGGAGGCCCTCAAACTTCTCCTGGCCTCACCTTGAATTCTCAAGCAGAATCATTTCCAGGGTCCTAACCCGAACGATGCCAAGAATTATGTGAATGTATTCACCTACCCTAATATTGTCAAAGATCATCTGTTCAATATCCAGCACATCCTTGAGAAATACGGCGAAATTGTTTCTTGTCGCGCCTACAAGCGATTCGTGGACTTGATAAGGTGGCTGGATCACGAACATCCGCAGCTAACCTCGATTAAGGTTCGAATACTTCCACAGTTTATAGGACAGTGAGGCGAAGCGAGCTTCTCTCGGAACGAGCGGAGTAATTCGCGAAATTTTAATGAGTGCGGAAAATTATTTCCGTTGCAACTCAAAAGCCTCAGGCTCCTTCGGAATTCGGTCCACAACCACGAGGAAATGCCTACCGAACGTCATTAACGGCATTGAAACTCCTTTGCTCTTTCCCCAGGGGCTGGACGCCTCGACGATCTACGCCGAGATCGAAAGGAGCGACGAAGTTATCCTCGAACAGAGCAGAATGAGGATGCCTTCCTGGGATTCCGCGGACGCGAACCTCGCTGAGCTCTATATGGTGAGATCTCCAGCCAGATCAAATCTCGATTTCTTCACAGCGAGTGATGATGATAAATCCCAAGAGCTCATATCGAGACAGAAAACAATCGAAACTTCTTGTAACCCAGAGCGAATCACTCGTTGTCGTTCGGACCATACCAAGATGGATGTTCGCAAGGGGGAAAACCGAATTCAAGCAGACAGCTCTTGTCGATCTTGAAGAAGGGGATGATGAGCGTACCCTGCACGTGCTCGGCATCGGCTTCAGGAAGGTCAGTTGCCGTTTCCAGCCAGGCCGTACTTTTTGAGCCGAGAGAATACGCGTCATTGCTCATAGTCAACATTTCGCGCGAGATTGATTCTCTCCGAAAAAACATTGCCCCCCCTTCGATTCCAGGTATTGATCGCAGACAACCGAGAGAAGCGGGATGAATGGCTGAGAACCTTCCGAGAGATCAAGTTGAGCAATGTGGTGGCCTAAGGTGTTGGAGCAGCAATCCCACGGGGAATCAACGAGTTTGATGATGTTCAGAGTGCTCGAAAGCCAGCATTGCTGTTTAATTTAATTTTGATTGGTCCTCGAAGTAGACACCTACGACGAGGGGGGAGCTCGGAAGAGACGTTACGGCAACTACCTCCTGATTTTGCCGCGAAATTTCAGGGCTCCTTCTGTTAATTTATGTTTTGTTCAGCTGGCAGATCTGAAGAACCGAAAGGCGGCTGGACGTGGACCCGACCCTGGAGCGGAGATTTCAATGACCGCTTATCGGTTGCGTCCTCGATGTTTCAGACGGAGAGAAATCATTCACGATGAAGTTGTTTTAGGGTGACGGTGAGACGGGGTGAGGGATTCGAACCTCCGGCGAATTAGACGATACATTCGAGGCTACCGACTCCCACGGAGCACATTCGCGGTCAACGTAGATCAACGTGGATCAATGTCGTGGCAGGCTGAGCGCCGCTTGTGGAAAACTGCACCTCGCGATAGATACGAATTCCGTGTTGACATGTATCGTGGTGTCCGATGGTGCGAATTGGAACCGGAGCACCATTTTGCGCATCTGGATCCCTAATCATTCTGACCTGGAGCTTCCAATTGTGGATGGCCTTTCGGCTGTTATTTAGGCCAGTTCCCGCACTAAGCGGGGACTTCTTAAAGATTTAACATTTTGTGAGATCTGTTACCGAACGAATCGTCGATCAAAAGCTCGCGGAATTTCGGTATAGCCCCTCGTTCTTTTAGTTTTGGAACGTTCCGGGGCGCTTCTTCTTATCGACAGAAAAATGCCTAAGGGAGCGCGACGTGAAGAGATGAACCGATTTTTCTTCCTGAGAAATTACGAATCGAGATAGATAAATTTTATGGAGTCTTGCGCTACCCATCCCTGCTTCTTCATTGATTTACCATCGAATTTCGACAAGTGTAGGTCGGAAAAGGCGATCTCAGAGAGAATCGTGTTCGTCCTGTTGGTGCTTCGCGAGAGGTCACGAGTCACGAGACGTTGCCCATACCTTCTATACAATCATCGCGTCCGGCCCGTGAGAGAGATGCCTTCGGAATTTGGGAGGTTTTCTATCGAAGCGAATATATACTCTTGGGGCGGTAGGGCATTTCTGCTCCTACACTCCTCCATATGACCTAGATGATGAGCATGAACCCCACTGGTGGTCGCTAGCGCTCCGTAGCATGTCCCGGAATCGAGCATCGGAATCTGCACGGCACGAGTCTCTCCGCGATGCGTTACGCTTCTCGCATCGACTTCCGAATTTTAAATTCAGAACGCCGCGCAGCACGGTTTGACTCATGCGGCTATGACGTCTCACTCATAACTGACGTATTGATTCCTGCGTCGCGTCGGTTTCCGCGCGAGGACCGGCGCGCCGCCGCTCTGGCATCCGAAATGCATCCATCCGGCAAAACAAGTCCATGTGCTTCTCTGGGTGTATCAGAAGGGTGGGCCACCGAGGATACCTCCAGTTAATCTGTTGTCAATTTTCGACTCGTGACGATCAATACCGCAGCGCTCGAGGAGCGGAAACTGGTGTCTCAACGGAAATTCAATCAAGCTTCTCCAATATGACGGCCGAATCCTTGATCAAAGAGAATGATTTCGCGATTCTTAAAACCGGGAAAGCTGCCCGGCTTGTGCAACTCAATAAAGGAGCAGTTTACGTGGAAAAGCGAAAATTCAACTGTCAAGACATAATCGGTCACCCTTGGGGACAGGTAAATCTTAGGGAGGGAAACCAGACCCATCTAAATACGTCCCGGCACACGGTCTCCGACGGGTGTCACGATCATCCCGGAAGAGAACGTCCTATCGTCAAACTTCCAATACGCCTTCCCATCTGGACGAGTCTTACTAACCGCTCTCGCTTCGAATCCCAGGTATTCGCCATCACTTGTGGAAAGAAAGGTGAAGCCACGCTGAGCGTCGTTCCACGACAGGACTACGTCGATCACATCTTCAATGCTTCGGAGAAGGTGGTGTAGAACAAAGCAAGACAAGAAATTCACTCGGGAGCTTCCGCTAAGGACCCCTTCTGCTTACCAATCGATGTACATGCTCAATCACGGAGACTACTTCGAGTAGGAACTCTCTCTTTTCACTGGCAAGCGACTAATGGAAACATGTCTGCAGGTGGGGAGCAGCACTTCCGGACAAGATAACCGCGATATACTGGACGAGAATCGATCCCAGAAATTGACGCGAGAAGAGATCACGAAGCTCAAACAGGACGGAGCAAGCTCTGTCGACATAGTGCGATCGTTGGTTGAGAACTCCGACACATTCTCGGACAAGACGAACTATTCACAACAGAAATATCTCCAGAAGAAGCTCAAGAAATATGACAGCTTTTTCCAGGTGAATTCTCGCTGAGTTCGTCGTCATTGCAGCAAGTTCTCGACTTCGTTGCATTCTATCCGAGGCTTGCAGACGTTGACCCCAGACCATATTCCCCTTTGCAGGCGTGTCGACCCACAGTGCGGTTGCTGTCTGAGCTGTACTGGAGTCAAAATCCGCTCAAGGTCGGGATGCTCCGCCCGGATAGCCTCGCGTCCGTCCTTGCGAGCGCTAATATCCTAGGAAAGGTAAAATGGATTTCCGAGGAAGCCCTCCGTCTCCAGCACCTCGATGAACTAAATGACTCTGATCATCATTATTGAAGCAAGGCTTATTCCAGCTTCTGGATTCCCAAAGATCGTAGTCTCCGCTCCCTGTAGACCATCGGCGCAAACATATTGGATGATAATCATTTCGAAACTCGACTGATGATCTTGCATTCTGCTTCCAGGGGAAATACATTGTGATGGACTCTTTTCTCGGGCTATTGACCGCAGGAGTACTCCAACACTGCGCTGAAGGCCAGGTGATTCAGGTTCTGGATTATATGGGTTATCAGAGTTCGACCCGCCAAGCTGTCCAAGCCATCGGTTTAGGTGAGTTTTCGCGATTTCCCCCCCCATTCGAACGTCCGCAGCCGAAGAGGAATGCTCGAGGCTCACGGCCTTCGCTCAGAAAGTATGCTCTGATTATTGCGGGGCGGAGAGAGACTCAAGCTGAGTGTTTCGCCCCTCGTCGAGAACTGATGAGTCGGCAGCAATGGGAAGGACGAATTATCTAATATCGTTTCATTGGGAATGAAATCGTGAAAGCTGACTGTGGACGAACCCCATTGAATTTCCCATGGAACTATTTCAGATTCGACGCGATTGCTGAGTGTGGACTATCACCTCGTCGAGAAACTAGCATCGGGCTTGAAACTCAGAGAAGATTGTCCAGAAGATCCAATGAACGACAGACGAGTAACGAAATTCCAGAAAAACATGGAAGCGCTGAGCTTGCTACAACAAAGAGATTTCGCCGGTCTCATCATGAACTGCAGAGGCGATATTGTTGAGCCTTGTGTGCTCTTATTGAAATTCCTCAGGCTATCCGGCACTTTCGTTGTGTTTTCACCTCACCTCGGAGTTATAACGAATCTTTATGACACCTTGAAGTCGAAGGGGGGATGTGTCATGCTCAAAGTGAGCGAAAGCTGGATCAGAGGATACCAGGTATTAGAGAATCGCACGCATCCTGTGATTAATATGCAAGGGGCAAGCGGCTTCATACTGACCGGCATAAAATGTGAATAAACTCCCTCGTATTCCTCAAGATGGAGAGAGGTTTCATGTATATCTCGGGCTTATAAGAGACCAGAGCAGCTCCGGATTGGGGTGTCATTCTAGCGCCCACTGTCGGGGTCCGCTGAATGAAAATGGAATATTCGAATACTGAGATGAGTCGTCTCCCAGGATCTAGTACAGCTTTCTGTGAGAATAGCGTGGGACCGGGTGTCATGAGAAGCCGAGTCTTCTTCAGCTCCTCAGAGCTCTGTGCCCATTGAATAAGACCGATTGTGAAGGAGAATATTCCAAATTTCAATAAGACATTCATAGAGTCATGGTCTCTTGAAGTTCCTGCCTCTGGTTCGCCTAAGAGTCGAGTCGCTGCGTTTTTTCAATCAGAGTTCGCCTTTCTCATCAAAATCGGACTGCAACACATCGGTCGAGATGGATCATCCTCCTCCGACTCACCAATACCGGATCAGCGTCCCCGATAGCAGCCGACCTCGTGCTCGGGTAGAGTCCGCTTACGAAGATGCCGCGCTCATAGAAACGCTCCGCCTCCTGCGAGCGAGGAGCACCATCTCAGGATCATTGAGCAAGAGCGCAGAGCGAATTCAGCTTCCTCCACATTTACTAATTGCACCTAAGCGCAGACATGTCTTGCGAGTCCCGGAGCGATTCTCCATCCATCGGTTGAAGCATCTACCTGACACTTTTCGGAAACACCGACGCGTATTCATCGATCGCCAATACTGAGTGAGTCTCGTGTCTCTCCTTGATCGGATCTACGCGAGGGGACGGAGATCGTTGTCGGCTTCGATGGGAGGGTCGACAGAAGGCGATCGACTCATTGGAACTGTGAAAGCCGATTCGGACACCAAGGGAGTGCCATAGCCTCTCGAGCTCTGACACGCTCCGGAGCGTGCCACTGAAATCCGGAGCTGGAGACCGCTTCTGTGGAGAGCTCGCCTCTCGCAGCGTAGAGAGAGCTCATGGAGCTCTCCAACTTCAACGCTTCGAGATAGATCGGACTCTGGACTTTTGTGCTCATTCTCTCCGTGAAGAGACGAGATGCGTTTATACCTCTCATTGTGTGGACTTCTGCTATTTACGTCGTCGAGCGAAGCAGCTTCTCTGCCTGTGTTGGCGGGACTGCTGAAAGTTCCCAGCATAGGTCAGTACCTCGGCGGATGGTCGCTAGTCCTGCTTGCGATGACATCGTTCTCCCAGTTCTTGGAGTTATTCGGATACGAGTATGAAGGCTTGAGCTTCATACCTCACGTGAACAATACCAAAATACCCCCGATCGGCATCCTGGATGAATACGGGAATCCGATATTCGAACCGTTCAAGACAACGCCGCGACCCGCGGGCCAAAAACACACATCCAACCGGGATGACGTTTCCCCGCACGAGGAGCCCTTGCTCCCAGCCCGCGAACCTCAGAAGCCAGTCTCCGTGGTAGCGCGGAGACGACTGAATCGGCGGAGAAAACATCCCCGCCTCATGAAACGGATTGGTATGGTCGAAGAGCTCGAGAAACTTCCAGTAGAGAAGCTCTTCGAGCGGGAAGCCAGCCGTCCGAAAAATGTGCGAAAGGAAAACCTCAAGCCTATCCCGTGAGTCATTGCTTCTATCGGGAACTCCCCATCGATATCATGGAGACCCTTCTATTTCGAGAGCTGAACTCCCGCTCGCTAGTAGCGGCTCAGATGAGCTCCAATGACGAAATTCGAGCCGAGGTTCTCCGGAGCGGAACGACGCTTCCGACGCACATGGACCTCCATGAGTTTCCCAGTGATTGATCCGACGGTGATGAGGACGAATAATTTAAAATAAATAATATATATCTTGAACAGCTCCTCTCTTCAATGCGCGCGGCCATCGACGAGACTCTTATGCCAGCTTCCGGTCTCCGATTTCGGAATACCGGGTTCGTACCGAGGCCATCAATGTTCTGAGGATAGATCAATAAAATTATTTCCCCCCGCAAAAACCCTGGCACCTATCATGAGGCTTCGTTCACAGGACTTCGTCGTACGTTGAGTCGTTCCCTCACCCGCCAGTGGAGAAAACTAATGATGATGATCGGGTTCGGCACTCCTGCGGTTCCGTTGGATTCCCTTTTTATTGCGGAGAAGCGCCTCGGACCCCTATCGTTAGCTCCCTCGGATTACGATGCGCACACGCATGTATATGATTTCCGGTCGGATTTCCGCATGCCTGAAGACGATTCCTTATGATGCCTGAAATCTCAGGAGTCCAAGCGGGGGCAAATATAGGCTGAAGCTATGGCCTAGTTCACTCCGAGATTCGTGGGGCAACCCGATCGCCCCTGGTCTCTACCCTCAGATAATTGTCGGGATCTGGAGACCTGGAGACTCAGCTTCCATTTCGCCATCTCATGAAACCAGCCCCGGAGTTCTTCATATGCGACTCCCAGAGCTGATAAGCGTTGGAGGTTGAGATTTTTCGTTATGTGGAGAACGGAGTATCCCAGGTCGATATGCTGAGCCCACAGTCGACGCCTCGTGACGTAGACGAGCAGGCTCTGCCTGTCATAGATTTCCAGCCCCTGAACGGAGAACCGGGGAACTAAGCTCGTGAAATACTCCCTCGACGATCACTTGTCGCCTCGGTCGTATCGACGTGATATGCACTTCCAGTTGATGACTCAATGAATCTCGATGCTCGAAATGCCTGAGGGAACACGCTGAACACGCGTACTTGCGGACAAGCTGATTAGGAATGGAGATTCCTGCTCGCGCCACTCGAGTTGATTGGGTGAACATTCGCTAGTGACCTTGCGGTCCAATTGTGGTGCTATCTCCATTGGAACTGAAGAGCGAGGCTCCCTGAGTTTCGACGCCGGGGAACTGTCTGGTCCCAGAACACCCCAGTCTCATATGGTCAGATCATTTCGAATCACATACAGCAGCAGAAAGGATATCGAAAAGTTTCGATTTCTCAGTGGGGGAACATTCGATTCTCGGCCTGCTCCTGGGTCTCACTGCGGAGGGAGAACTTCCGGATCTAGGATCTGGCTGTTTCCCCAAATGATATCCGAAAGTTGTCTGCCGAGAAGACTCTGAGAGGCCGAATGCCGGCTCTTGGACCGAAGAGAGTCGTCAAAGTCGTCATGAATTGATCTGACGCTGGTGCTCGGCTTCCCATTTACTAGCGGGCCAGGGCCGGTCCATATTTTTCAGGGAAAGGTTCCGGTGATGTTCGCATTTCCCATCAGAAATCGCCAGAGGACTTTCTAGACCTCCAACTGGAAGAACTCGGTAATTCATTAGAAGTAGCCGACGATCTATTCAAGCGTCGTATGTTTCATGCTTCTGGCGAGCGCAGCCCGCTCTTCAAAAACAAGCTGTCATCTAAGAGATTAAGAGACACCGCCGCCATCGCCGCTAAATCGTCGCTCTGGGCAGCCGTTCGGACGCCTCTGGATGAGAACCAGTTGTCATTGCCGGACATCGCATGGGAAGTGGTGGATCCTCGAAATTCACGCATTCGATCGCTGAATGACTTCCGCGTTCCGATCGCAGTCGGCAGCGTGATCTCCGGAAGCGAAGAGTCGGTACGTCACGCAACCGCATTTTCGGCAAACAAAATTCCTCCGATAGCGGAGAACTCCGCTTATCATTTCGGCCGTTCTTATAGTCCTGTTGTTCGCAAGTCGGAACTGGAATCTCGTTTCTTCCTTTACGACTGACGCGAGAGGGACGCAAATAGCAGGCGTCTTATATTTTCAGGTGGCTGCATCGATTTCCGGACGTCAGCCGCGAACCGCATCTCTCTGTCCTTCCTCCCGTGCGAGGACCCTTGCTGTTTATCATAAGGGCAGTAAAGGCTCGCGCACGCTTTACTTTTTTTCTAGAGTTTGGAATGACGGCTACAGCGAGCGGAACATCCCACGTGGAGACTGGCGCAAAAAATGAAAAAGTTACTCTGGATGCGCTTTTCGAACGGCTGGGAAGATGGCACCTCCCGATTTTCGTCTTCGGCTTCTTAAGGGGGTCCCCGGTGAGTTCTGCAGGGGGTTCCGATCGTCGCTCGGGAACTTGTCCGTCCGGCAAGGAACGTCGATTTCTCGAATTGAGCCCCTGAATTGTTCTCAGGTAATCCTATCGATGATGTTCGTCGTGTTCGCGGCGCCGATACGGCAGGAATATTGGTGCGCGGATCCCGGTTTCAATTCCACCAATATCTGTGATGGCAGCTGTCAGAGGTTCGAGTTCGACCGCCGCGTCTACGGATATACGTTGATGGAGGAATTCGATTTGGTCTGCAGCCGATCGTGGTTGGTGAGTGCCTTCCAGCCGCGGGACACGAGGAAAGTGTCGAATGACGATGAGATTCTTCGTCTCAATCGACGTCGAAGCCTACGGAGTCTCACGCGGAGGTCATTCTCTGCAGGCCTCGCTGGCTCAGTCATTGTACTTGTCGGGATTGATGGTTGGTGGTATAATCCACGCCCATATCTCTGATTGGTGGGGTCGTCGCTTCTCAGCGATCGTATCCCTAATCCTGACTATCATCACGACCGCAGCCACCGCATATTCTCCTTCTGTTGAAGTTTTCATCGTTGGTCGTTTTCTCACAGCCTGTTCACTATCAGGATTTGCGGAAGCGGCTTTCACGATAGGTCAGGGGGTGCCTCATCACGAAATTCCATGAATTATTATCATCATTATCTGTATTCTACGTTTCTCGGGACACTTCGAAGCAAAGCGAATTTTCAGTTATCGAAACGGTTCATCCGAGCATGAGATACATGCCGACGCTGACCATCGGAACAGGTATTTCGACGGGGATGATGATTCTCGCGGTTTCTGCCTACGTATTGAGAGACTGGATACACATGCAGCTGTTCATTGTGGCCACAATGCTCCTTCTCACCGCTCTGTGGACGTGAGTTCAGTCCGCGAGCCTTTCGAAAGTCCAATGATGTAGTTGGGAAATAGTTTTCTCGGCCGTTGCATTTGTCGCGGAGAATGAGCGTCCGGAGTATTATTCCCACCGGGGTCCTGACCCAATCGAGATTGTTAAGTTTTGTGTCGACTCCGTCAATAGTTCAAGACTTGAGATGGGTTCGTTCCAGCATTTTGCCGGAGTCGCCTCGGTGGCAGCTCAGCACCGGACGATACGAGGCAGCCGAAAGGAGCCTGGAAAAAGTGGTGAAACACCAGAAAAATTTCAATGAAACCCACGTAAAAGCGATAATTGAAGAAAATAAGTCCGCCACCAGAGAAACCAAAACGACCCGCCCGACTCTGGGTACCGTCTTTGCGCAGTATCCTCTCGTAACTTGCGTGTTTTGCTTCTGCCAGTGAGTTTGTTCCTCTGGTTGTAGGGCATCCGTAACTACACTTGGGCGCTCGGCAAAGGAAACATGGGTGCTCATTCATTATGATGGTCGTCGTTTGCAGGAGTACCTCCAACATGGCTTGGTACTACTTGACTGTGTCTACCACATCCGTATTCAATGGGGATCCTTATCTGGCCTTCCTGGTGGCCGCCATCTCGGAGATCCCTGCGAAGCTGATGAACACAGTCCTCATTAAATTCGTGCCGCGTAAGCGGAGTTTGTTCTGGTCCTTCATGTTCTCAGCTGTGGTTCTCATCGTGGCCATCTGGGTTCCATCAGGTGATGAGACATTCTATACTGACCGGTAATCGATTGTTTTGCGCTTCTGACAGTTCTCGTAGGACCGCGCTTTTCACGAAGTAATTTTGCTGCCACCTCGTGAAAGGCTGTGACGACGCTGCTCGAGCAGGAGGCACCGTGCTCGGAACCCTGAAGCCGGCCGATCTCGCAGGTTCTGGCCTCGACCGCACGGGGTCCGACTGCTACCGGAATTCGTCGCTTGTTAAGTTCTTACACCATGGTCCCTGGCATGTAGGATCCAATAATGTGATAATGCATTTGGGTCTCCGCGGTTAGACTCCTTCATCGGATATCGGTTCTTGGATCCCGACGCCGACTGTGATATTCGGCGTCGCAGTAAATGAAGTATTGAATGATTGAGAGGAACATCTGCGGATCGCCCGCAGAGCTCGATCAAGACTAGAGCGTTCGGAGGGGCGAGCTCGTGAAGGCTCTCATGCTCACGGCCTCTTTTGTTTTTCCTTCTCAGAGTACTCATGGATCAAATTGATCTCGGTCATCCTGGGCAGGATGTGTTGCTCAATGAATCAGTCGGTGAATCGAGTTGCCGTGACCGAAAGCTATCCCACGGTCATTCGAGCCATCGCGGTCTCGATGGTCGGGATGACGGGAAGAATGGGCGCGTGCGTCGCTCCATTCTTTGAAGAGCTCGTGAGTAGGTTCACTGCGAGAGGAGATCCTCTTATTCCTCAGGATACTCTTGTTCCCGCATCTGATTTGTCTATCATTTCTCGGACACTATTCATCCCCCTCAGGAACGCATGTGGAGCTCTCTTCCGATCATGATAATAGCGGGTCTCTGCTGTGTGGCTGCCGTGGCGACACAACTCCTCGAGGAAACATTCGGAAGAGCCTTGCCCGACAGGCTGAAGAAGGAGAAATCACCCGAAAAGTGCGTTCAAGGAGAAACACAAGGAACAAAACTTCATTGATTTTTCCGATCGGTTCGAGTCCAGTTCTCACGCACTCTCGCGTCCCCAGGTCTCCCTCATAAAAGATGCTCGGTTCTCGAGGTTCCCTGGAGTGCATTTCCCTTCGTCTACAGCGATGTTCATTTCGCTGATTGCAACATCCATTGCATGAAGTATCTTGTGAAGATGTGATTTTCTCCATCGATGACTCGAATGGTATGCGGTATTATGATATGTGAAATAAAGGAAAGCTGGATGGTGACCACAGGAGGAAACTCCGTTGAGATAGCCCTGACTTTTCGAAGCGCGAAGCTCTGCGAAGACTGCTCGAACGGAGTCGCTAGCCGACCGTTCGATGATTTTTATCCTCCATCCCGCACACTTACGACCAGAGTTAGATCACCGGCGAAAATCCCCATACAGGTGCGACGACAGGCGGGGGAGCACTGGCCGTAGCCCGGAGATGTTGTCGGAAACGGCGAATCTTGGAAAAGTATTTCTCTTATCAACGAGAGAATACCGTCGACAATTCTGCGGAAAGAGAGTTGCGATGCTTTCCATAGTCCTTTCGATATTTCGGAGATGAACGAGATATCGTCAACCGCCATCATCGAGGAGACAAATTCACTCGGGAGACACGTACGTCCCCACTAAAAATGACCGAATACTTCCAAGAACAGCGGTGGATCTGGAAGACTCCGGGTAGGCCCGCCGTCATGATTCATGATGTATGTCATACATACAATCGATAGTAGGGTCGGAGCGTCGGAGGTCCCATTCCCATTCCTTTGGTTTTCCATGAACGCTCTCATCTTCATCGTGAGAGTCCCGTGGGCGGAAATTCTACTATGTCGAACAACCCAATCCACCCCGCGGGCTCTCTTGCCGATTCCTGTGCCGATGACACCGCTAGAGCTCTGGATGGACTGCCGAAGAGCCCGCAGGAGAGCAGCGAGGCTTCTATGTCGATCGCGGGTGCAATTTGAATCCCAGCTGGTGCGCCAAAAACAGTTGCCGATAGAGTAAAGCGACTGGCCAAGGTACCTAATCGCTCATCTTGATGTGATCGTTCGCCTATATCGATAGATCGGCTTGACCCTCGACGGGCCCATCCTAGCAGTGAGGTAACCGACGCTGTTCCGCGGGATAGAATTCTGGGCATACTCGAGGTGGAGCGCCGGAATGGAAGCTCAGTCGAATTACGAACGACGTATTGTCGAACTCGAATCTAACTTAGAGAGGGCTGCTCTTTTCGGCAAACAGCTGCTGGATCAACTGTCGCTGAAGTCGAGGTGTGTTTTCATGTGAAGTTTTTTCTTTGCGTACATTGACGGCTCCATTGGATGAGCATCTCCTCGAAGGGAGTCATTGATTAATTATTGATTCGAGGAATCGAATATTCTGAGCTTCGAGCCCGTGATTGCAGTATCATCGAAGAGTTGGGAGAGCAATCAGCTCAGCATGAGGTGCAACTCGACGTACTGAAACAGAAAGTACACGCTGCAGAGCGGGATTCCAGCTTGGCCGCGGCTCGCGAAAAAAATGCGCTCAAGGTGAGGCCTCTTCAAAGATTTATCGTGAAATGGAAAGAGAGAAACTTTCATTGGAAGTCTACGCCGCGGAATCCGTCCTAGATGGGAGCCTGAAACCATGTTCCGCCGTAGGAGATCGAGACCCTGCAGGATATCTGCACCGAGTTCGAGAGCGTGCAGAGCAAGAACAGAAATTTGGAGGAAAAAATTCGAATTCTCGAAGCGGAGAAGCTGCGACGTCTACAATCTACAGCTGAGCTTGAAGAGCATTTGGCTGAAACCCGAATTGAGCTCTCTGTGGGTACGCAACACTTACCGTATGCATGGCAGAGATTGATCTCTATGATGAATCGAGCTACCCAGCTCGACCCCCGAGCGCGCTCGCGGACGATGAGATATCCGGAACGTCGGATTCGATATTTTCTCTCACTCCACAGCTCGAACCCGTATCGAAGAGCTCCGCTTCCTGGAGAAACAGAGAGACTCGACGATCAAAGTTTACGAGAGATCGACTGACTCTGATGCCGATGATGACGGACGAGCAGAGAATGAAATCCTCGTCGCCAAAGTCCAGAGTCTCGAGAGCGAGTTGGTTAACCAGAGAGCGATTCTCAAGCAGCATATCGAGGAGAAAGAACTAGCCGTAAAGAAGAATTTCCAGAATGAGGTAGCTACCTTCATCGGGCGTATTCGGTCCGGTCGTTTTCGGGACCGAGAATTTTAGCTCCTCTGAAGCGATCGGAGCGCAATCGTCACATAATCTAAGTCATCAAGAAGCTTTTCCCATAGAATAGACTCGCGGAGATTCTCGAAGAGAGGACTTCTATCGAGCAGGAGCTCGCCTCTCTTTGCAACATGATCACTGAGAAGAATCGCCAGATCGATGAATTGAAAGACGACATTGAAGCTCTGAGAGCTGCGGAGGTTTGGTCTATTCTCGAAGGAAATCTGAGCGGAATGATCGTAGCCATCGTCTTATCTTATCGATATTTAAGAGTCTGGGCTCCACGAGAGATCCTGACGGATAGCGAATTTTCCCTCGCTTAGTATCGCATGCGAATCCTCAGACGGATCCGAATCGCCGAGGCAACTCTATCTTTGCGGAAGTTGAAGATAGGCGTATCGAGGTCGAGAACAAACTTCAGGGGGCACGAACGCGACTGAAGTCTGCTGAAGATGGACAGCGTAGGCTGAAGAGACTGCTCGCACACTCGTACAAGACATTGCAGATCATGGCATCGCATGCCAGCAGAGCCGACCAGAAGTGAGTAATCTCGCATCTTTTCATCCTTCACCCTGTCACAGAATTTGCGGCAGGGGTGACCGCAAATTCATGAGCTTAGCTCGTCGTGTATGGATCGTCGTGTATTCTTCTTCTTAGTTACGTGAAAACACTGGAAGGCGAGGTTATTCGACTGCGAGCCGAGCTCAGCTCGATTGCTACACGAGCAGCGAGTGAAAAAATGGAGGATGAAGCGTACACTGAGAAAGATCTGCAAGACAACCCCTTGGCAGGTGAGTGTTCATTTTTTCTCTCCCGTGTCGAGGTGGGAGTCAGGCTGACCCCTCACAGAATGAGTCAATTGCGGTATATCAATTCAGGATTGTTGCTGTCGGAACGCCGAGAGAACGCGTCAATGCAGAAGAAATTGAAGGATCTCATTCATCACGACAGTGGAAGGACGGAAGAAATATTGAGGTACTTCATGTCAACATGTCCATTACAACTGTGATCTGTCCTTCGAATCTTTTCGCAAGTCGAGTGGTGGGTTATGAGCAGAATCCTCGCCGGAAGCGGAGGACATCAATAGGACTTCTATCCCTCCGTTTCCATAGGCTCGGCGCCGCACTCCGGAAATCACAGAGCGAGGTTGAGAGCCTCGAGCAACAGTGCGCTATTCTAGAAATGAAGCTGAATGAGAAGCAAATTTCGGAGACCGTTCCCGAGGCCGGATCCACCTCCAGTTCCGCGGCAGAAGTGTCCAAAGAAAGAATCGAGGAGATCAAACTACACCAAGAGAAGCTCTGCGCTCTGGAAGAGGTTCGAGGGCTGCTGATTTTCTCAATCGAAATACAGCATGAGTTATGAGTATTCTTCATAAGCTACTCTCGGATAATTCTGATACTCCACATTCTCCGCACAGATCAAAGAAGTCACGACAGACGATCCAAATCCGATGGCGTCGGGCTCCGACGAAACGAGTCCTCCCCGGAAGGAAATGGAGAGCGGGGTGAAACATCCGACCTCGGCGTCCGACCGGGAGACAGAGAACGTCGTCAGGACGGTGAACTTCAGCGATGAGCAAGAGTTGGAGAAGCCCGAGCAGCGCAAACCGAAAGCGAGGGGTCGTCAGGTGACGATAGTGAAGAGGAATAAGGCGGAAACCAATGACTGTAAGGCTCAATGAAGATTCAGACAAGGTCGCAGACCGCATAAGCTGGGAATGGTCTCTGAAGCTGAATGAGGTCACCTTGTGAATATGTTTTATGTATATGTATATATATCATGTGGTTTGTCGGACGGTCGCACACAGAGCTGGGAGTTGGCGTCTGAGGGGCCCTCTGTATGTCCGACCGACGGTACACGAGAGCACGATACTTCGCCTCCGACCCGAATAATAAACACCTAGCGATTGCTCATGGAATCGGCCCGCTAATATGAGCTGTCACTAGCTGTATAATATTCGACATCGAAAAATGACGATACCGCATGATGACTTGCTCCTTGAGCGTTCGCATGATCATGCATTCCAGGCGTGTTCCAATATGTTCGATGAGGTTGTCGGCCGCATGAAACGGAAAAAGAACGACCCGAACGACTTGGGGGAAGAGGTCGAGGCGAAAGTCTCGTCATGTGAGGTCGAAACGGTATAGATGTTACATCGATTACGCACCGGTTTCGATCGGTTACGCGGGGATCAAACGACATTACTGTGAATGCGCCAACGGTGCTCGGACCGTAAGCTGCTGCTCGCATGTTGCGGCTGTCGTATACTTTCTGTCCCATGCGCGCTTTCTCTCAAGAATCATCAGACCGGCTGAAATTCTAAGCTCACTCTTCAACGATGGTTCCAATGTTCCCGTGATCGAGGAGGATAGTGATGAAGATTGATGTGATCCATGTCGATGTCTCATTGAGAGCCGAGTAGATCATGCCATGAAAAACTCGAATATAGAATCTCAAGTCACGAGCCTCACGAGGGCGCGAAGCACTTTGGGAATAAAAAGAAGTGTCCTCATTGGGGGAGTCGAATGCGATGCTGTGGGCATAGCTTTTGAGGAAGCCGGTTTCCTTGGGATAAGGTCGAAAACACGAAAATAATTATGAGCACCAAGAGATGCAAAGAATTTTCTTTTTCTGTCCGTCTCGCGGATGAATGACGCTCAGAAAAAAATTCGTTTGGTGCAGTTCCGCCGTGGTGCAGAAGGCTTTTGGGCGGAAAATGTCCGAAAATCAGGTCTAGAGGGGCGAAAAACTGTTTAACTCTCGTAGACAAAATGTGTTGGGCATTCGGGCCCATGTCTAATTTTCAGCATTTTCCCTCAGCTTTCCAACAAAACCAACCCGGGGTCTCCATCTCTTCTCGTTGTCGCACAAAAATATTTTGAAGAGGATGAGTCATTTTTAAGAGTCGACAGAGGCCAATTTCTTGTTCCACGAATATTCGGGAATAAGGGGGCGATTGAAGTTGACCAATTGCGTCGATATGCTTCACTTAGGCAGGGGAATCATCGCGTATCAACAGATTTGAAATTCCCGCTTGGGCCGAAAATCATGCCTTATTCCGCTATACCCTTTGGCTCGGGTGCTGATCTCTTGGAGCTACGTGCGAACTCCCGCCCCGGAAGGTTTACAGCGTTCACAGTGCAAGTATGATAGTTCACGCTAGGCTGGGCTGCGATCAGTGAGGACGGGCTCTTGAGCGAGTTTTGAGGAGCAGTCTGCTCACCAGGATTTCATGGCGCGGCGTGGCGTAGTCAATAGGGAAGAGAGCTCCCCCTCCTCTCTCCTGCGACGCTCCACGGAGAAGGAATGCTAGCGCGCCATTCGGAAGGATAGTGCTGTCACTACTGTTTCCACAAAGTAACCTGGAGGGTAAGCGACAACCTCTGCAAAGCTTGAAGAATAATTCGCTGAGAAATCACATTTCCCTGGAACCGAGACTTGCGGCAGCTCGGAAGTCTCAGTAGCGGGCACGATTCGATAAGAATTCTGATATTCACTGAGAAGACCATGAGAAGTTCTGCAGACGAGCGTAGTGCCTTGACGGGGATTCGAGTTCGAACGATTCCGCGAGTCAAATGGCGCCGAGCGCCGGGAACAAACTTCTCTTTCTCGAGGCGCTTCCTCTCAGCACATTGAAGAACAGCAAACACGGCAAGCAACGCGATTCCGTTTGTGTCAGTTTTTCCAAGTGATAAATAATGTCTCTCGCGGATGGCCTCTTCGTGATTAAGAACGAAAGTCTCTCTCGCTTAAGTGAGCGTTTCCACTGAAATAGAGAAAAATGAATCGAGAAATGGACGACCGCTACTCTCCGAGCATTTGACAAACGAACAGCTAATCGAGAATTCAGCCGTCCGCCGCTATGGGATCTCTGTTCAAAGGAATGAAGGCTCTCTGAAGAAAACCCAACCCTGTGTTTCCATTTATTCTCGTGCAACCGTAAAGTGCAATCAGCGTTTTCTGGTCGAGAGCTTTAGGGCACTCGATTTGGATCCTCTGTTCGGCCCTTGTTTACCTGTCAGATACCTTCGGCTTCCTCGAAGATCCTATCTGAACTCGAGAGGCTTGATATCGATAAAAATGCGATGTTCGTTCTTGCAGATGCCTGTTCGTCGAAAGTATAGCAGCGAGGTTCAACCCACCATCCCTGACGAATATGACTTCCTGTACCCAAGTTTCACGCTAGAAACTCCAAGGAAACAAGCGCAGGTGCGTTACAGCTTCATACGTATAGTTTCGTCGATTGATGAAATTTTGGCGTCTCATCGATGATTATTCACTGATCGGAGACACGAGCGGGAATGGAGGCTTCACTTCCAAGTACCATACGAGAGAATCACCGGAAGCACGAGAAATCGCTAACGAAACAGCATCGTCACTGGAACCTCACACTCTCAGCGGTATCAATGGTGGAAGGCATTTTCTGTGCTCGGTGAAACTGCGTCGCTACAATTTTCTTTCGCACACGATGATGAATGATCGGTCAATTTCCGAATATCACGACCTTGACGTTTGATCTGTTCGATCCATTGTATGACAATCCACAGGTGTAATTATGGCGAGGGGTAATTCGACATATCGATGCTCATTCGATATCGAGAGGCACCATCAGCGAGGAGTTTCGCGAGCGAAGCGCGGGGTCTCTGTTGGTTCCTACACCGTCCTCGGAGACATCCGAAGAAGCATCGCTGCCCTTACAGTAGTACCTTGTTGTGGCATCGGCAGCACTGGCAACAAATTACCGTAAACCATAGTTTGGAGCCTATCATCGCTCGAAGGACACACAACAATCTCGCATTTCGCGCAACCTGTCAAGGTCGTCACAGCACTTGAGGTCTCAAGATCCGTCTCAGTCCATTCGTCCGGCGGGTGCTTGCAGGCTTCAGTCGATCACGATACCCCGACTGAGAGATCGATATCGACCTCTCGATTGTTCTCCACGTGGGAGCAAGTTCATTCCCTCGAACAATTCGATTTTCCCATGATGATAGAAGCTTATCGAGCCTGCACAAGTTTAGGAAGTGGCACCCTCTGATCATTCAATACTCGTTTTGTAATTCAAGCCTGGTTCGTTACATTTGGTAGGTTTCAGGTTTCCAACAGGCCCTCCGACGGTGACGGCGATAAATCAAAGCGACTTTTTCTGTCAGCTCGATTGTGTAATGTTTCGGTTTAGCGTTACAGTCGACCGCGTGGACAATCTGCCTCTGTGGTGTCATTCCGAAAGCTCACGCGATCTCTTCTGGAATGACTGAGAGCTTCTTTCCTCCGTTCAGGTTGAAAACGTCCTGCGACCGCTCGTTTTGGGCCGCTATAATGTGTTCAAAATCAAAGATGTGTTCCTCAGAGAGATGGAACTTGGTCTACAAAGAGACCCGAAGAGAGGCAGCAGTCTCCAGATGGAAAACACTTACATACCGGGCTTACCGAATGGAAGCGGTGAGTTTCTCCGAAGACGGATCGGATCTATCCCGTCGTATTATGGTTGAGACTCTAAGGACAATGTCTCGTAACTCTCCGCAGAGCACGGCGAGTTCCTTGCGCTGGACTTGGGTGGCACGAATTTCGGGTTATCCACGTTGTCATCGATCCGAACTGTAGTGAGCCACACTATGACGTGAAATATTTTTCCGTACCGGAAGCAACCAGACTGGGACCTGGGGAGCATGTGAGTAGGGTTTTTCGGAGGATAATTCGGATCGGCCCTGTGTTGCTCACGCTCGAAAATCCCAATCGCTGGATTTGGGAAAAATCTCGCGATATAAATACGGCATCAGTTAGCTCGAGGGAAGGAGCCTCGGCGACGCTTCCTTGTGGAAGATTGTGTCCGATTCCAGAGAGGGGCCATATCAACATTGGGTTGTATTTCAAGTGGACTTGACCTTTAGTGTGTTAGCATGGCGGACTCCTATCGCGAACAAACCGATCCATGTATTGGGCTCCGAGGAATCTTCATAGGACGGCGCCGGCGTCGCTCTCAACAAGAGACGTCTATGGAGCGGTTACCTTGAATAAAAATGTTCTTCTCGCAGCTCTTCGATTTCCTGGCTTCCTGCATCGATGACTTTCTCGGGGAGACCAGCCTACGCACCAAAGCCCTCAATCTGGGTTTCTGTTTCTCCTTCCCAATGCACCAGGAAGGTCTGAATAAGGCTATCCTAGCATCGTGGACGAAAAGTTTCAACTGCACCGGCGTTGTAGGAGAGGACGTGGTGGAGATGTTGAAGAATGCACTCGATAGGAAAGGGGTAATTTCAGCCCCCGTCAGAACGGAATATCTTCGATAAAATCCCCGGAAAGACGCTTCCCAGCGATAGTCCGATGCCATCCAATCAAATAATCTAATATCATCTGTGCCGGTGCCGTCATTTTATATTTAGTCTGTTTCACCAGGTCACGAATGTAACTATAGTGGCGATCGTTAATGACGCCACCGGTACTCTGGTGAAAGGCGCTTTCGTCGACCACAATTGCAACATCGGACTGATTCTCGGAACCGGCTGCAATGCTTGCTATATGGAGAAGGTAGGCACTCCTTCACATGCGGACAGGTCAGACGAAGTGACTCGGGATCGGAGGAGGAAGGCTGAGTGAACTCTTAAGAAGGGAGGGGGAGAAACTCCGACTCCAAAACCTTGGACGAATAAATTATTACGACTTCATCCTCATCCTCAGGTAGAAAATATGCCCGACTTCAAGAAGCATTC